GAAAGTTTGAAGATAGAAGTTGGTTTATGAGATTTGAGGAAAGTAGCCGTCTCCGTACAACAGTGCAAGGCACAGCTCTGGTTGAGTGTCCCATGCACCGAGAAGAGAAGTCTCCAATTTGATTCCAGGTCAGGGCACTGCCCAGGCTGGGGGTCTCCATTCCCAATAGGGGGCATACAGGGGACAGCCAATCAATGATGCTCCTCTCTCATTGATGTTTCTCTCTCTCTCTCTCCCTTCCCCTCTCTCTACAATTAATAAAACCATATATATATATATGTATAATTTTTAAAGTACAAGGTGCAGCAGCAAGTGCTGATGTAGACGCTGCAGCAAGTTATCCAGAAGGTCTAGCTGAGATCATTAATAAAGGCATCTACAGTAAATAACAGATTTTCAATGTAGGCAAAACAGCCTTGTACTGGAAGAAGATGCTATTTAGGACTTTCATAGCTAGAGAGAAGCCATTGCCTTTCAAAGCTTCAAAGGGCAGGCTGACTCTCTTATTAGGGGCTAATGTAGCTGGTGATTTTAAATTGAAGCCAATGATCATTTACCATTCCCCAAATCCTAGAGCCCTTAAGTAGATTTATACCAAAGGTACTTGGCCTGTGCCTTATCAGTGGAACAATCAAGTCTGGATGACAGTTTATCTGGTTACAACATGGTTTATTAAATATTTTAGCCTGTTATTGAGACCTACTGCTCAGAAAAAAAAGATTCTTTTAAAAATATTACTGTTCATTGACAATGCACCTGGACACCCAAGAGCTCTGATGGAGATGTACAAAGAGATTAAAGTATTCATGGAACACAACATTCATGAGTCAAGGAGTTGCCGGGAGCCGGTCCATGCTTGCTGTTTCAAGGGACCTGGCATATATGGCATACTGTTCTTAATATGTTTGCTCACCTTCTTGGAACTATGTGTTTTAACCAAGGTCTCTGAGAAAGGTTGTTTCCCCAGGTAGGGATTTTCCCCTGAAGTTAGGGAGGGACTAAAACCTCTTAACTAAGTGCCAGGTGGGTAATTAATCACTTTAGCTACGAACAATCATGCTTAAGCTACATAATCTTTACTTCCTGGAGTGGAGATAAGAAACGCCCTAACCTTTGTAATAGAGATTGATGGGATTGGAATCAACTGGTATAAATACAGATGTAAGAACACAGAACCAAGAGAGACAGAACCTAGGCACAGAACCTACACAGAACGTTCTCTAGAGACAGAAGAACTTCGCTGGAGAGAACATGGCAAAAGATCCTGGACAGAAACTGACCTCAGAACTTAGAGACAGAACCTAGCGAGAGAACATGGCAAAAGATCCTGGACTGAACCTGACTACAGAAATTGGCAAGAGAACCTGACTAGAACCTGGTGACTGAACCTGGCTGGAGAACCTGGACAGAACCTGGCTGGAGAACCTAGCGAGGGAACTTGGCTACAGAACCTGGCTGGAGAACCTGGAGAACCTGGCTGGAGAACCTAGCAAGACAACATGGACACAGAACCTGGCTGGAGATCCTAACCAGAACCTCTCTGGAGATCCAGACCAGAACTTGGCTGGAGATCCTGGCTGGAGATCCTGGCTAGGCTGCTGATCAACTGAACACTGTCTCCGTGTCCTTCCTTCTTCGCCGACTCCGTCCACACCTTTGGGGACCCCTGGACCTCCTGGGGTTGGACCCCGGCATCTGGCAGCCGAACAGGGACCCCTAGGTAAGCCCCACTCTCGGGACGGATAGGACTCCACCGTAGGAAGAGGGTGGATAGTCTTCGCCGACTCCGTCCACACCTTTGGGGACCCCTGGACCTCCTGGGGTTGGACCCCGGCAAGGAGTAATTTTGATTTTCAAGTCATTATTTAAGAAACAAATTTCAGCCCTAACCGGTTTGGCTCAGTGGATAGAGCGTCGGCATGCAGACTGAAGGGTCCCAGGTTCGATTCCAGTCAAGGGCATGTACCTTGGTTGTGGGCACATTCCCAGTAGGGGGTGTGCAGGAGGCAGCTGATCGATGTTTCGCTCTCATCGATGTTTCTAACTCTCTACCCCTCTCCCTTCCTCTCTGTAAAAAATCAATAAAAAATATATTTTGAAAAGAAAAAAAGAAACAAATTTCAGGCCTGGCTACTGTGGCTCAGTTGGTTAAGCATCATCCCGTGCACCGAAAGGTTGCCAGTTTGATTCCATCAGGGCACATGCCCAGGTTGAGGTTTTGGTCCGGGTCCGGGTGGTGGGTACGGGAGGCAACTTATCGATGTTTCTCTCTCACATCAATGTTTCTCTCTCTCTCCCTCTCCTTCTCCCTTCCTCTCTAAAAAAAAAAAAAATCTATTGAAAAAAGTGAAACACATTTCATTAGTCTATAGCTGCCATTGTTAGTGGTGAATCCTCTGATGGATCTGGGCAAAGTAAATTGAAAACCTTCTGGAAAGGATTCACCATGTTGTATGCCATTCAGAACATTTGCGATCTATGGGACGAGTCAAAATATCAACATTAACAGGAGTTCGGAAGAAGTTGATTCCAACACTCGTGATGACTTTGAGGGGTTCAGGACCTCAGTGGAGGAAGTAACTGCAGGTATGGTGGGAAAAGAAAGAGCCAGAAAATTAGTAGCCAGAAGATAGGACTGAATTGCTGCAATCTCGTGATGAGACAAATGAGGAGTTACTTCTTACGGATGAGCAAAGAAAGTGGTATTTTGAGATGGGATCTACTCCTGGTGAAGATGCTGGGAAGATGGTTGAAATGACAACAAAGGATTTAGAATATTCTATAAGCTCAGTTGCTAATGCAGGGGCAGGGTTTGAGAGGATTGACCCCCATTTTGAAAGAAGTTCTACTGTGGTTAATACGCTATCCAACAGCATCACCTGGTGTAGAGAAACCATTTGTGAAAGGAACAGTCAGTCAGCGTGGCCAACTTCACTGTTCCTTATTTTAAGAAATTGGCACAGCCACCCCAGCCTTCAGCAGCCACCACGCTGGTCAGCCAGCAGCCATAACACTGAGGCAAGACCCTCCGCCAGCAAAAAGATTATGACTCCTTGAGGGTTCAGATGAAGCTTAGCATTTTTTAGCAATAAAGTATTTTCTCATTAAGGTATGTACAGTACATATTTTTTTAGACATAATGCTATTCCACACTTAATAAACGAGAGTATAGTGAAAACATTTGTTTATATGCACTGGGAAACCAAAAACTGTGCAACTTGCGTTATTGTAATACTCGCTTTATTGTGGTGGCTTAGAACCGAACGAACCTGCAGTATCTCCAAGGCATGCCTGTCCTGATAAAGGTGGGGAAATACCTGCTTTAACATATTTTAGCCTGAGTAAAGATTTTTTTTAAATGTTTTTATAGATTTTTAGAGAGAGAGGAAGGGAGAGAGAGATAGAAACATCAATGAGAGAGAAACATCAACATCGATCCGCTACCTCCTGCACACACCACCCCCCCAAAGCTGGAAATAGAACCCGCAACCCACAACCCCAGGCATGCGCCCTGACCAGAAATCAGAGATTTCTTGGTTCGTGGGTCGATGCTCAATCACTGATCCACACTGGCGGGCAAGATTTTAATTTTGAAGTTTGCTAAAGGTCAGAGGCATGAAATATAAAAGGCATATTTTACATTAATTAAGATTCTTTGGGGGAAGATTTTCCTCTTTGATATTTATGGTTTTCTTTTCTTCTGTTACTAATCCAATCCCTCACTACCACCATCACCACCAAAACAAGAGAGAAAAAGAGAAAGAGAGAGAGAAGGGATGGAACTAGCATTTTAAAATAATTCCTAATAGATTTATTCTATCAAGTGCTTTAAGCCAGTGAAGAACTGGAATCTTAGTGTGATGTAGTAAAATGTACTATATTATAGGTAATTATGCAGATTTAGAGTTTTATTAAACACAGAGCATAAGGATCTAAAATATGCCATGAAGGAATGGATCCATGTTCCAGCCAGCCTGGTATTTCATCTCTAATAGAAGAACCTAAAAATGTTTAGCAGAGTCTGGTTCCATCTTGTATCACTAGTGAAAGATGAGAGGTGTTTCACCCCCATCCTAGATTGCTTGACCATAATGTATCTATTATTCATTTATTTAAACTTTTAAAACTTGTAGATAACTTAGAATTGACTAAACCCCTAATATCATTATAAAAATTTCATTTTTTACTACCCGATATGGTAATTAGTATTTTATTTGTCCAAATTTACAATAATTTTCAAGCTCTTGCATGTATTTTGCAGTTCTTATTCTACAGTTTTATGAATAATCTTGTTCATAAAAACATTCAACTTATTTTTACTTCGTGATTTGACAAGTTTTTATTATTTCCTCTTTATCATTTTTTAACGGAACCTCGATTTTATTAGTCTTGTCTAAATGATACGGTTCACTGAAGAGGCACACACTGTGTTCTCTAGCATCTGTGTGCTAAAAACATTTCACTATAACAAAGTGCCTTTTTTCAAACCTTAACAAGCTTATTTTGGCCCCTCATTATTCCTGAAAAATAGGTAAGACAATTATGTACTTATTTATTCTATGGCAGACAGGAATTCCTTTACTATTTTTTTAAACTCTCCTATCAAGTTCATTGCTATTAAAGTTTGAAATCATTCTTTCTTTCTTTTTGGGGGGGCTTTATTTAATACACACACACACACACACACACACACACACACACACATATATATTTCAGAGAGGAAGGGAAAGGGAGAGAGAGAAAGAAACATCAATGATGATAGAGGATCATCAATCCATTGCCTCCTGCATGCCTCCTACTGGGGATCGAGCCCGAAACCCAGGCATGTGCCCTTGACCAGAATCAAACCCAGGACCCTTCAGTCCGCAGGCCGATGCTCTATCCACTGAGCCAAACCAGCCAGGGCAAAATCATTCTTTCCAAGGTGCCAGGATCTTCCTCACTCTCCGACATCTACATGTGTAATCCTTTGACCTTCTGTTCCTTATGTCTCCTTGCAGCCATATGTGTCGTTGTCTCAGCAGATGGCACCACCTAGTCCAAGCAACAGCACACCTAACAGCAGCAGCGGGAGCAGTGGAAATGACCAGCTGAGCAAAACCAACCTCTACATCCGGGGTTTGCAGCCAGGCACTACTGACCAGGACCTTGTCAAGTTGTGTCAGTCGTAAGTTGGGGTATGTGTGGGTAGGCTTCCAGGGACAGTATAGATTGGGTGATACTGGCTTGTTGCCAGATACTCTTATCCTGAAATACCATATTATTTTGCTTCTACTCCATAGTCATAAGGTTTCTCAGCAGCCCCTCTTAAAGAAATTCTACCTGCTACTAATATATAAAACCTTTTGTTTCTCTGAGGAAAGCCAGGATAAGGCTGGCCTTTAAAGCCTAGTGTATGGCTTTGTTTCTAACAAGTATCTAGAATTAATGGTCTTCGTGGAAAGATTCCTATCCTTACACCTTGAATAGAAATATTCAGCATCTCCAAAGGCAGTGAGGGATAGAAGCAAGTGGGACTAGTCAATTGAATTATGTACTTAGAAGAGTTTCTGCTGTTAGAGATATACCCAGTGAACCAGAGAAGCCCTCAGATTAGCGGGTAAAGAAGAAGTTGAAGAAAGAGGTGGTTACGTTGCATCTTCCCTCTAAAGACATTTGGGGTTCTTCGGAGTAGACTCGAGTCAGAAGGTGGAGATAACTATTATGGAATTAGCCCAGTTAAGAATCCTGGGAAAACTGCAAGTGTGTCGAAATGCCAGTTCATTTCCTTTAGGCAGAAAAAGTATATGTTTCAAATAATCTAGAGGAAAAGTTGGGGGATGGAATGGAAACATCACTGGGGAGAAGGAAAACTGAATTTTGGTAAGTGGATGGTCGAAGGAGAAAAATTGGAACCGTCGATTATGTAAATTTACCATTTTTAAAAACTTCGTTTTGAAGTATAATAAGTGCACGGAAAAATGCACAAATCGTAAGTGTATTTACAACAGTGAGTTTTTACAAGGTGAACACAGCCTTATTGTTACCAGATCGAGAAACAGAACACCGCCACCTCTTCAGAAGCCCGTCTCTCAGTTACTATCGCTTTCCCATCCCAGAGGTTGTCCACTTCCACATGAGCAGTGCTGCTCGGAGCTTGTGCGTGTCTTTGGTGCACGTGTGCACACAGTCATGTTGTGTCTATACCGACGAGTAAAATTGCTGACTCAGAGGATGTGCATTTGTTCAGCTTCTGTTGATATTGCTGGACAATGTTCTGAAGGGGTCACAGTAATTCGAACTCCCACAACGGCGCATGTAAGTTCCAGGGCTCCACGTCCTAGAGAAGCAGAACTCTGCCTGCAAAATATAGTTGTGAGAGGCAGCCTATGCACTCCATAAATCGCTGACTCTTCTGATGTGGTTTGCAAATCATATGGATGTTTTTATTAGCACCAGGCTACACAAACTCAACTCTAAAGGCTAGATGTATGTATAACACGGGTTCCTTTAACGCAACTTACCTTGCTAGGAAGGTATTTCCATGGCACTGAGTCTAGGACTAGTAATGTTTCGGGGGAATAGAAATTGGCAGAAATGTTGGTTCATGAGGGAAAAGAATACTTATCAGTCTAATTCCTTCATTCCGCACCTGTGTTTCTTGTCCTAGATATATTGTGCTACAGAAATCTTCTCATGCCACATGACAGGGAAAAAACTCAGTTTTTCCCAGCAGTTGCCTTGCCGTCTGCTGTGTCTGAAGGGATGAACATAGTCGGGGTCAGCATGTAGGATGGAAGTGAGGAGTCCAAAAGGGGACTATGGAGAGGTGGCAGCGAGGCAGGGAAAGCATGGGTGCCAGGTGACTTATGATGAAAGGGAGGCAGTAGACCCCTCAGGGACGCGTTGAGCTGGGAGTTAAACCTTTCTAGGAAGGGTGTTTCCTATGCGTAGAAGGACGTCCTGCCTTTGTCCCAGTTGGTCTCTCTCCGGGTTGCAGGGGAAGTACAAGTGGCTGGATCCTAAGCCCTGGTGGGTGGGGAGGAGAGGCGTGGAGTCTGGGACTGGAGCTCGCAGTTCTCTTGGAGGGGCTCCGTCTGAGGGGGAGGCGGCAGGAGCGGCTCAGCGGCCGCCAGCTGCCTGGAAATTCTGAGCTCAGTCTCAGGCTGCTCAGACCACAGCAAGCTCCACCCTGGGGCCTCCGCAGGGATAGCAGCGTGCGTGTCCTCTTCCTTTGCCTAAATTTGGGAAAGAATCCAAGGATGTCGCCCTGAAGGGCTAGGATCACCCCTCCTCCCCCCATTTTAATGTGTTCTTTTCCCGGCCTCCAGGGCATGGCTTAGCTTATTCTTTCTAATCCAGTGGTTCGAAGAAGCCCCACTAAAAAAGTCAGTGAGAGGTCCCCAAGGAGCGAAACACATACATCAACCATCCCACAAGCTTTAGGGATGAGAAGAGCGGTAGGAAAAATGCTTCTTAGAGATATTGGTCTTAAAGTCAGTCCCTGCTACGTGGTTTCGGCTAAATCTTGTAACTTTGTTAGTGTTATCTGTTCTCTCTAATATGTTCACCCTCCTGGAGTGGAGTGGAGAGAATTTTTCTAGTGGAACGCTGCTCATATAATCCCTGACTTGTGACACCCCACTCTGCTGCCAACGTATGCTCTTTCAACATGTTGAAAACATGACTGTCATACAAATATAGGTGAACACATGCCAAAGATTTATTCCACTCATTGGTGAGGGAACCAGCAGGAAGGTAAAATGAGTTCAAAAAGCATTTGAGGGACTGAGTATTTATAGGTACGGAAAAGAGAATGTTGAAATAAGATTGCTGGGTTACATACAAAACTGGTTCATATTCCAAAGAACAATAAAACAGTAACCTTTGGGACTTTCTTTTCTACTGGACAGAAATTATTTGCGTTTCTACTGGATAAAAATCAACGGGTTAGTATGTATCTTCACTAAGCCTGGGCCCTAATCAGTAGTAAATAGTAAATGAAACAACTCGCTAGATAATAAAACATACCTTGAGTGGGCCTTTATTTTTTTTATTTATTTATTTTAAAATATATATATTTTTATTGATTTCAGAGAGGGAGGGAGAGGGAGAGAGAGAGATAGAAACATCAGTGATGAGAGAGAATCATTGATTGGCTGCTTCCTGCACACCCCTCCACTGGAAAGTGAGCCCGCAAAACTGGGCATGTGCCCTGATTGGGAATCAAATCTGTGGTTTCCGGTTCATAGGTTGATGCTCAGCCACAGAGCCCCGTGCTGGCTGGGCTTGAGTGGGCCTTTTAGACAATATTCCAGAATGATGTTGAAAGGATATGCAATCATCGTTTTGCCTTGTCATCAAGTTTTGGATAATTTTCCTTCCTTTATTTTTTTGTGTTTTTTGTTTTGTTTTGTTAATCCTCACCTGAGGATATTTTTCTATTGATTGTTAGAAAGAGTGGAAGGGAGAGAGAGAGACAGAGAGAGAGAGAGAAACAACAATGTGAGAGAGACACATCGATTGGTTGCCTTTGCACATACCCCGACCAGGGCTGGGGAACAAGCCTGCAACCAAGGTACATGCCCTTGACCAGAATCAAACCCAGGGACCCTTCAGTCCATAAACCGACGCTCTTTCCACTGAGCCAAACTGGCTAGGGCTGGATAATTTTCTTACCTGGTTGTGTGCCCACTCCCCTCCTAACACACTCAAATCTTGACGATGAGAAATAGAAGTTTTAGAATACAGTAAAGCAGGAGAGCCATTTGCAGTAGATTAAAGCTGAGGTCACTTGAATATAATAACAGTGATAACAGTTAAGAGTGTTTACACGTTTACCATGTGGTAGACACTCGTGCTTTATATTTATGAACTCATTTCCTGTTCCCAGCAATCCGATTCCTGTCTTACAGATGGTGAGACTGAGGCACGGAAAGGTTAAATGACTTGTCCAAGATCACACATAGCTACAAAGAGGCAGAACCAGGATTTGAACACAAGAAATTTGGTTCAGGTTGACCTTCAATCAGTAGAGGGATAGGGAACTGGGTGTCAGAGAAGATAAATGTTTATAGGTTTTTCATAGGAGGAATGGTGTTTGCCCAAAAGAAGATAAGTAACATCAAGGGTTGCTTTTAGTCCTTCAGGAATTCCTGCCAAACTTCTCTCCTGAAAAGACACTAATCTCTTCCTAACTAGTGTCTGAATCTTAGTTGGAGAAGAAGAGAGAAGCGTGTTGAACTACAGTTGCCTTACTTCTTGTGGGGAGCTTTGGGAATTAGGTTTACATGATAAGTCTAACATTTTAAATTCATCTTCTCTTTTCCTGTTATTAAGGTTTGGGTAGGATCAGTGTCGTAGTGGAAGTGGAGAAAGGACTGGGTTCATCCAGATGCCTCATTCTCTGTCCTTTCCTACACACCTGCCCCCAGATGATCACTTTGTGTTTTCTTCTCCCTTAGATATGGCAAGATTGTCTCCACTAAGGCCATATTGGACAAGACCACAAACAAATGCAAAGGTAAGAAAAGAGCTGTCCTGGTAATGGAGGGCAGCTGTGCGTGAGCCCATCCCTTGTCCCTGCCCTTTACTGCTGAATGTCCCGAGTACCCAAGGCCAGAGAGAAATCTCAGAGGTTTTCAGACTTAAAAGACCAGCAGAGCCCTGGCCAGGTAGCTCAGCCGGTTAGAGCATCGTCCTGATACGCCCAGGTTGCCAGTTGGATTCCCAGTCAGGGCACATGCAAGGGTTAACCAATGAATGCATAAATAAGTGGAACAACAAACCGATATTCCTTCCTCTCTTCCCACTTTCTCTCTAAAAATCAATCAATAAAAATGTTTTAAGACTAGCAGATATTTAGGTTCTTTGGTGACCAGATAGCTAGAGCTGCAAATGCTATTTTGGGGACCTAAGGCTAGAAGTCTGCACGAAAGAGTCTTGGAGTCCCTTGGGCTTCCTTTGACCCTCATGCTCCCCTGGACTGGATGGTGTATATGGGCAGAGGCAGGTGAGATTATTTCTCTTTAGCAAAGCATTGTTTAGGCTTTTTGGTGGTAGTAGTGGATGACTCGGTAGGTATTACTTTGTGAGGATTAACAGTTTTGTTGGGTTTTGAGCAGTTTTAGGTGGAGATGTAGGAGTTGTAGGAGAGGAAAAGTATGTAGGTTGAAGTGGAGAATGGCTTCTTCCAGCAGGTAGCTGGTTGTCTGCCATGAAGAGGCTGTACTCCCAGCTGCCAGTGTGGCTCTGTGGTTGAGCATCGGCCTATGTGGTAACCAGGAGGTCACGGTTCGATTCCCGGTCAGGGCACATGCCTGGGTTGTGGGCTCGATCCCCAGTAGGGGTGTGTAGGAAGCAGCCAATCGATGATTCGCTCTCATCATTGATGTTTCTCTCTCTCCCTTTCCCTTTCTCTCTGAAATCAATAAAACTATATATTTTTAAAAAGAGGCTGTATTCCCATGCCTAGCATTCTGGTGTGTGGCTAGAAAAGAGGAAGGGTTGTTTTTTGAAGAAGTCAGAGTGGGGGTGCTGTAGATTATTAGAAGAGCCTTCTTCCTGAAGCCTCATATCTGTGGAGGGAGGGTGAAAGGTGAGGACACCACAAGGACCTCATTGCCCTGGGCACGCTTAGCTTTAAAGTAACGGAAATTGCCCGGCAACGTGTGGCTCCGTGGTTGAGTGTCAACCCTTGAACCAAGAGATCATGGATTCCATTCCCGGTCAGGGCACATGCCCGGGTTGGGGGCTCCATCCCCAGTAAAGGGTGTGCAGGAGGCAGCTGATCATGATGACGATTCTCTCTCATCATTGATATTTCTCTCTCCCTTCCTCTCTGAAATCAATAAAGACATATTCTTTAAAAAATAGACCAAACCTCACAGGGCTTGAGAAGCGGGCGGATAATCACCTGAAGCCTCCCTCCCGCTTGTGTTAGGTGGATCACAACCCTTCCTCTTCTCCTGAAAAGCCTGGGCCTCCTGCCCCGTCTCCCCCACCGCCCAGTGATGCTGTTTCCATTCCAGGCTATGGCTTTGTGGACTTTGACAGTCCTTCGGCCGCACAGAAGGCCGTGACAGCACTGAAAGCCAGTGGCGTCCAGGCACAGATGGCAAAGGTAAGGGTGCTGCCCAGGTCTTTCCCTCCGAGGGGTTGTGGTGAGCAACAAGGTCCAGTCCCGAGGTTCCAGGGGGCTGAGAGCCACGATGCTGACGGGCAAAGGCCGCCTGCAGTGGTTTTGTTACTATTATCTGGCCAAAGACAGCCTGGGCCCCGGCCCCGTTTAGCACCGCCTGGCTGCTGCAGGAAGGCGATGTGCAGGTCGCTCTGTCCAGGATGATCAGCAGGCAGGAGGGTGCAGAGGCCTGCTCCCTTCCTCCCGCCGTTCCCCATCCCCGCCGGTTCCGCACTTCCCCGCCACACAGCCTGTGGGAGTTGTGCAACATGCCCTGGGAAGCCAGCTGTGCCTCTCCGCAGTTCAGAACAATGCGTTCCACCTCCCAGCACTGTTCCCTGGGGTGGGGAGGTCCTGTGGTGGGGCGTGGGGGGAGGGAGGGCCGTCCCGGCGGGAAGCGGACGGTCCCTCCTCACATCTGCCTGGAATCCAGAGCCTTTCCCTCCGCGTTCTCTCCGGTGGCACCGCCCTCTCGCCTGGGCAGCCAGCCACCTTCTGCTATCATTAAAGGAAACGGAGGCCCTGAAGGGAAGGGCAGACGAGGGGCTCAGGCTGCTTGTGACCCGCAGTCTAGAGCAGAGCGGCTGCTGAAATCCTCAACAATCCAGCTGTGGGACGTGGTCGCCACTGTGCACGTTTCGCCCGCGGGGGGGCTCCCCGCCTCCGCCGCCGGAAGAAGCGCCTGGAGGGGGGGCTCTGCAGAGCTCCTGGGGCCGGAGCTGCCCGCGCTCCCGGGGACAGTGAGCTGTGCCCGTGGCCTCGGCGCAGCCCAGCACAGAGCCTTCCGCCCTCCTCCCCCTCCCCTCTTCCCGCTTTCCCTCCGTCAGGGAGCGGGCAGGCACTCCTCCTCAGAGTCTGCTGTGGCCGGAAGGGGGCGGGGGGAGGGTTACTCAAAACAATCCAGCCCGCGAACCAGGCGGACGAGGCGGTCCCCGAGAAGCCTGCCTCTGGGGCGGCTGCTGGGGGAGGGGGGCGCTGCTCTGCCTGATTCTTAAAGAGACAGCCAAAACTTTATCAATGACTCGTATTATGGGCGTGTACAATACTAATGATATTAAACCTGCTTTCTCTTTTTTGGGGGGAGGGGGGGTCTGGGCTCAATATGCAATCCACGGTAGTAGGGCTAGATGTTTGTTACAAATAGTTAAGATCCTCTTTGTTTATTCGGGAACCTTCCTGTTATCTTTTTTTCTGAGATATTATGTTGTGGATGAAGGCTGAGATGTGAGCTTCATTTTCTCTCTTTTATTTCCATAGCAACAGGAGCAGGACCCTACAAATTTGTACATATCAAACCTCCCACTGTCAATGGATGAGCAAGAACTGGAGGGAATGCTGAAGCCCTTTGGCCAAGTTATCTCCACTCGAATCCTTCGAGACACCAGTGGGACCAGCAGAGGGGTTGGCTTTGCAAGGTGAGGGATGCCGAGAATGGGACATGATGTCGTTAATGAAGAATGTCACAAAATCTGTGCCCCCTTTCCCACAAGGGACCAATCAATTGGCCAAAAGTACTTGATAGTGTTACTGGGAAACCCCCGGTTGGGCTCTGGCTGCCTGTCACTGTGTCCAATAAGGAAGGCAGGGGTGAATCATATGGGGCGTTTATTGAAGAGGCGAGCCAACCCAGAAGACAGCACGCTTACAAGCATCAAATCCTGCCTTCCAGTAAGGTGCAGGGGACAGGGTTATAGAGGGGAAGGGGCCAGGGTGAGGCCAGGAGTGGACTCAGCTATTACCCTTTAGTCATCAGGCGATGAGATGATGTTGATGAGGTGATGTTTTGACTCCTGGTGAGTTGTCCTGACCATGCTTATCGGTTCTGTTTGCTGGATTCACAGCTGAGTCACCTCCTCAATCGCTTGGCACAGGCCTTGAAAAGGAAACTTAAGAAAAACTTAACCCCCTATTCGCATGTAAGAAATTTAACTCCCTATTCACATAAGTATATGTGTTCTAAGATTTAAAATAATATGATTATTTTTCAGATTAATTCAGGTGTTCTCTCTATCAGATAAGAGGACATCCCTATCAATAGTATATCAAGTTTATTTAATTGTAGGTCACAATACTAAAAAGTTCACGTGCCCCAAATCCTTGTCCCCACTACCTTCTGCTACTCTAGCCTTTGTTCCTTTGATCCAGACACAACCAGAATAAAATAATTCTGTACCTTCTTATAGATTTAATGTCACTGGTACCTTACAAGCCCATAAAGCAAGTTTTCTGTATCTTCCTATTGTCTCATTTAATCATTACTACAACCCTGTGAAATATTAACTCTCCATGTTATAGATAAGGAAACCAAAGTTGCCAATACGAAGTGACTTGTCCCAGGTGTCACAGGAGTGGGTGGTAGAAACAGAGCCCTAATACTTCTGGCTTCTAGGTCAGTTAGGATGAAGTGGAAATCTGGTCTACCTTTCAGATCTGTTGAGAGACTTAGATTCTGGAACCAACTCTGCCACTAACTGTCCATGTGATAGCAGACCTTTATGAGTCCTGGTCGACTCTGGAGATTGATTTATTATTATTTTTAAAATATATATTTTTATTGATTTCAGAGAGGAAGGAAGAGGGAGAGAGAGATAGAGCATCAGTGATGAGAGAGCATCATTGATTGACTGCCTCCTGCATGGCCCCCACTGGCGATGGAGGCCACAACCCGGGTGTGTGCCCTGACCAGGAATTGAGCCATGATCTCCTGGTTCATAGGTCAACGCACAGCCAGCTGGGCTGTGGAGATTGACTTAGATGAGTGATTTTCTTGTGGTGTCCCTCGTGCTGCAGAGCTCTCTAGCGCGCCCTCCTCTGTGCTTAGGTGTCATTGTTGTTGTAGGGCGTCAGCTTCCCCTGTCCTACTTAAGAAAGGGTTCTGCTTTTCTTCTTCTTCTTCTCCTTCTTCTTCTTCTTCTTCTTTTTCTTCTTCTTCTTCTTCTCCTCCTCCTCCTCCTCCTCCTCCTCCTCCTCCTCCTCCTCCTCCTCCTCCTCCTCCTCCTCCTTCTTCTTCTTCTTCTAATTGACCTCAGAGAGGAAGGGAGAGGGAGAGACAGAAACATCAATGATGAGAGACTCATTGATCAGCTGCCTCCTGCACGCCCCCTACCTGGGAATCAAGTCCACAACCAGGGCATGTGCACTTGACCAGAATCTGAACCCAGGACCCTTCAATCCCTTCAGCCCGCAGGCTGATGCTCTGTCCCCTGAGCCAAACCAGCTAGGGCAGTGATGGCGAACCTTTTGAGCTCAGCGTGTCAGCATTTTGAAAAACCCTAACTTAACTCTGGGGCCGTGTCACATATAGAAATGTTTTGATATTTGCAACCATAGTAAAACAAAGACTTATATTTTTGATATTTATTTTATATATTTAAATGCCATTTAACAAAGAAAAATCAACCAAAACAATGAGTTCGCGCGTCACCTCTGACACGCATGTCATAGGTTCGCCATCACTGAGCTAGGTTCTGCTTTTATTTATCTTAAGATTTTGTTTGAAAGGAGATTCTGTTGTGTTTGTTTTTTCTTTAAGTTTGAAAACTACCTTACTAAGGTCCCTTTTGTTTTATATCTTGTCTGGTCCAAGAACATTCCCTTACTCTGGAGTGTTTCAAACCGTGAGAACTAGGAATAGGGTTTCTCTAGCCAGCTCACTCTTTTTTTATATATATATTTTATTGATTTTTTACAGAGAGGAAGGGAGAGAGATAGAGAGTTAGAAACATCGATGAGAGAGAAACATCGATCAGCTGCCTCCTGCACACCCTGCACTGGGGATGTGCCCACAACCAAGGTACATGCCCTTGACTGGAATCGAGCCTGGGACCCTTCAGTCCCCAGGCCAACGCTCTATCCACTGAGCCAAACTGGTCAGGGCTATATAGATTATCTTATTTGATCTATACAGTCCGGTGTAGTAGGGTAGATGGATCATTTCTCTAAAGCGGAAATGAGGAATGGGTCCAAAGGGCTTTTGTGCATGTCCTAACTCATAGCTTTGGGAGATGAACAGGAGCTGGAATCTAGATTTTCTGTCCTCTTTCCCCAACAAGATACTTTAACTCAGTATTCCCACATTGTTTTTTCTATCATTATGGGCCCAAACCCTGTCTTATTACTGTTTCCTCCTACAGACTCATGAAATCTTAATGAATAGCTCATTAGACCTTGATAAGTAACCAGAAGCAAAAATAAATATTGGAAAATTCTTAGCTTGTGTAGGTTTATTAGAGTGAGGGGACAATTTCTATTAGGGATTTTGTAATAAAAAGTAATAGTAACAGCCTCTGTTTACTGTATTCTTATTTATGAGCCAGACACAATCATAGGCCCATCCGTCAGTATCTTCTTTGGAGCATGTATTCATAGGCCTCCATGCCTCCTTTCAGGGCTCCTGCGGGAGCCAGCTGAGAGAACCTTCATTAGGAGCTGGTTGCCTCTTCTTGATGTCTTGAATTTGTGCGGAGGAAACCTGTGTTTTATAGTCACAACTGTTAGAGCATCTTGGGGCTGGGGACTTGGGGCATTCTTGTTGAATGTAGGGAGCACACAGATCCCGGAGAAGCTAGAGCCTAACCCCTCTTGTGCTCCTCAGGATGGAATCCACAGAGAAGTGTGAAGCCATCATCACCCACTTTAATGGAAAATATATTAAGACACCCCCCGGAATACCAGGTGAGGCGTCTGGGAATCCGGCTGAAAGGGCCGCAGGCTGTTACTTCCAGTGAGGATTTGAGGAGTTTTGCATGAGTGTGAGTGAGGCTACGTGAGGTGGGACTCCGTTACCTGTCTGCTTTCTCTCTTGGTAGCCCCATCAGATCCGTTGCTTTGCAAATTTGCTGACGGTGGTCCAAAGAAACGACAGAACCAAGGAAAATTTGTGCCAAATGGACGGGCCTGGCCAAGGAATGGAGACATGGTAAGAGGACCTCTGAGGCTGTTCAAACGGAATGGAAATGACCATGGCCTGATGTCTGTGAGCTTAGGTGGCAAGCTTGAGAGCTACAGTTTGTAACGGAGAGAAGCTGGCTGCTAGCATGCTCTTCAGTGTGGGTCTTGAGTGGGATTTTGCAGCCTGCACAACCAGGAAAACTCTGGAACAGCTTGTCCAGACTTCACTTAATTTTTTATTTTTATTATTTTTAGAGAGAGAGGAATGGAGAGAGATAGAGAGATAGAAACATCGATGAGAGAGGAACATTATCGATTGGCTGCCTCCTGCATGTCCCCTACTGGGGATCAAGCCTGAAACCTGGGCATGTTCCCTGACTGGGAATCAAACCGGTGACCTCTTGGTTCCTGGGTTGATGCTTAACCGCTGACCCACATGGGCTGGGCTGTCCAGACTTCACTTTACTCATTCCCACCCTTGACATTCTGGCCTTGCTCCTGTTCTCAGCCAAGGGCTTACAATATGACTGCTGTGCTCTTTCTTTATAGGGTGGTATGGCCTTGACCTATGACCCCTCCACCGCTCTTCAGAATGGGTAAGGGTGTTTTATATATTCAGGCCAACTCAAGATGACAACAGCCTGTGTCCAAGATGTTTCACCTTGAGTTCTGAACAGCACTTAGTGGGAAGTGGCCGTGTCTGTCAGGGGAGGCGCCCATCTTCCGGTGGCTCCTGACTGACGAGGTTCCTTCCTGCAGGTTTTACCCGGGTCCTTATAGCTTCACTCCCAACAGGATGCTCACGCAGTCTGCACTCTCCCCCTATCTCCCGTCTCCCGTGTCTTCGTACCAGGTATGTTCATGCCCAAAAGGTGCAGTGACTTTCCCTATCATTGTGTTTTAGGCGGAGGAATAGAATGCTGGAAACTATTTGTTGTTTTGTTTGTTTTTCCTTTGTACGTATTGCCACAAATAACTTTACACAAAAGCATAACATGTGATCACACTACATATATGTAGACTGGTGTGAAAGCATCCTCTTACTCTCTGTCTACTACCCCACAGGTAAATCCATGTTAATTTCCTACTATTTTCTATATTTTTCTTCATGGGCATATATACATATGTATATGGTTTTTGGAAGTCATTGTTTATTTTATTTATAAAGAAGTTGACCATATTACATATATTTTTCATACTTTATTCTTCTCACTTAACAGTATCTTAAACCAGTGATTCTCAGAGTGTAGTCCCTGGGCCAGCAGTGTCAGCAGCATCTGGGAATTTTTAGAAACACAAATTCTGGACTCACCCCAGACCTACTGACTTAGACACTGGTGATGGGTCCCAGCAAATGAGTGGTTCTCAGAAGCCGTCTGGGTGATTCTGATGCAGCTAATGATGATGTCTCTGTTCTAGTTTTCTTTTTTAATAGTTGCATTATTTTTCATGCTGGAGATACACCAGAATTCTTCATCTATACCCCAGTGAAGGTCATTCACTTGGATTTCAATGTGGTGTTTTTTTGGTACAAATAATGCTTCAGTAAACATCCTTGTGAAAAAACATCCTGTGCTCTATCTTTACCTATGAGTACCTTTATTTCTAGGCGCTGGAGTCTGAGGAGTAAGATTGCTCGTTTGAATTTATGGACTTTCAGTTTCATAAATGTCCCCAGATTGCTTTTCACAACGGCTGTACCAATTCATGTTTCCAGGAGCAATGAATGAGAGCACCTGCTTCCCTCCAGCCATTGCTCTTTTTAAATGTTTCCTATCTTGATGGAAAGTGCATTATGACTTTAATTTGCACTTCCCTGACTGCAGCTTGGTTTAAGCATTTCTAATGTTTGTCATATTTTGATTTGCTGTTCTCTGATATGCTTAGCCCATTTTTCTGTTTGCTTAGTTATTCCTTTCTCATCAACTTATACAAACTATTTGTATATTATAAGTATTGATCCTCTGAATGTTATCTTTGTTACAAATGTTTCTTTTTCCCCGAATTTAATTTTGTCCATTGACTTTGTGGTCCTCAAACTTTAGCTGTGCATCAGAATCACTTGAAGAGCTTGTTAAACCCAGGTTACTGGGCGCCAAGCAACACTTTCTGCCTCAGTAAGCCTGGGCGGGAGGTAAGCATGTGTATTCCTAACCAGTTCCCAGACGCTGCTGCTGCTACTGCAGCTGGTCCAAGGGTCATACATTGGGAATCACCAGTTTTTGCCACACAGAAGTTTAAAATGTGTATATAGTTAAATATGCCTTCTTTTTCAGGTATAACTTTTTAATTTCTTGCCTTAATTCAAAAGCTCTTCCTGGTACTATATTGTGAATATGGTCTCCAAGATTTATTTCATTGTTTTATATGTGAATGTGTAATCATCAGGAATTTATTTTTGCATATGGTAGGAAAGAGGGGTCCTACTATATTTTCTTTCAGATTTTTAACCAGCTGTCCTAACATCAAATTATTAAATAATCCATTTTTTTCCCACTGAATCGAAATGTCACCTTTGTCATATAATAAATACTGGAATTTATTCTCCCCCAGCAATCATTGTTTCCATTCTTATTTCAATAATGTATGGATTTGATCGCAGTGGCTTTCATAATATGTTCTAATATTTGATAAGACAACATCTCCATTCTTTTTCATACTTTGCTATTTTTTTGGCATTTATTCTTCTGTATAAAGTTTATGGTCATTTTACCTAATTTTTAAAATCTGTGAGAATTTTAATTGGAGTTACAGTAAATCTCTCTCTCAAATAGTTGATTTTTTTTTTGATGTTTTTCTTTTCTTTTTTTTTTTTTTAAAGGTGGGTACTTTTTTTTTTTTTTTTAATACATTTTATTGATTTTTTTACAGAGAGGAAGGGAGAGAGGGATAGAGAGCCAGAAACATCGATGAGAGAGAAACATCGATCAGCTGCCTCCTGCACGCCCCCTACTGGGGATGTGCCCGCAACCAAGGTACATGCCCTTGACCGGAATCGAACCTGGGACCTTTCAGTCCGCAGGCCGACGCTCTATCCACTGAGCCAAACCGGTTCTGGCTGATTTTTTATTTATTTATTTATTTTTTTGGTTAATCCTCACCCGAGGATATTTTTCCATTCAGTTTTAGAGAGAGTGGAAGGGAGAGGGAGAGACACATCGATTGGTTGCCTCCCACACACTCCCCAACCAGGGCCCCAATGGAGCCTGCAACCAAAGTTCGTGCCCTTGACCGGAATGGAACCCAGGACCCTTCAGTCCTCAGGCCAATGCTCTATCCACTGAACCAAATCTGCTAAGGCAGGAGAATTGACATTTTTAAAAGTACTAACCTTTTCACTCAAGATATGGTATTTCTTTTCTTGTTTTTAAATCTTTTTGTGTCCTTAAATAAGATTTTAGTTTTGTTTATGTAGGCCTTATCCTTTTCTTGTTAAATATATTCCTAAGTGTTCTATCATTTTTATAAGCATTTCTAGATACACTTGAAAAAACCCTATTAATTTATGTTCCTCTATTTAGTATGCAACTAACATCAAATTTTCTTAATACTACTAGCGTTTTTTTTACTTGCATCTCTTAGGTTTTCCAGGTATACAATCATATCATCAGTGCAAAATAATAGTTTATCTTCCTTTCCAATTTTATGCCAGTTGTGCTCTTATCTAACTGTATTTATTTAACCTTACTATAAGTAGGCTACTATATTTGCAGTGGTTTTAATATGACTTTGTTTCAGTTAAGGTTAGCAACTAGTTTTTGGTAATGACATTTAATATATGTAAGTAGTTTCTAGTCCCTATTTTACTTGTGATTTAAAAAAAAATAGCTGCTGAATTTTATCAAATGTCTTTAATGAGATATAATGTGAATTATATCTCAATTTTAAAATGAAAAAAATTAGCAATGAGAAGTTAGAAATGCCTCATAATAATACATACCATAAAAGTCACCCTCTTAATTTTTTTATTTTATTGATTTTTACAGAGAGGAAGGGAGAGAGAGAGAGCTAGAAACATCGATGAAAGAGAAACATCAATCAGCTGCCTCCTGCACATCTCCCACTGGCGATGTGCCCACAACCCAGGCACATGCCCTTGACCGGAATCGAACCTGGGACCCTTCAGTCTGCAGGCCGACGCTCTATCCACTGAGCCAAACCGGTTTCGGCAAAGTCACCCTCTTCAAGTGTACAAATCAGTAGTGTGTAGTACATTTACAAAGTTATACAACTATCACCAATATCTAATTCCAGAACATTGGCATCCCCTCAGAAAGAAACTCTGTACCCATTAGTAGTCGTTCCCTCTTCTTCCTTCCACCCACCCAACCCCTGGCAGCCACTAGTATACTTTCTATGCCTATAGATTTGCCTATTCTACACGTTTCATAATAAATGGAAGCATACAATATACTTGTGTCTGGCTTCTTTCAGCTGGCATGTTTTTAAGCTTTATCCATGTTGTAGCATGTATCAGGACTTCATTCTTTCCTATGACTGAATCATATTCCACTATATGGATAATACCTCATTTGTTATTAATTTATCAGTTGATGGCCCTTTGAGTTGTTTCTACCTATGGGCTATTATGAATGGTGCTGCCATGAATATTTGTGTACAATTTTTGTGTGGACATATGCTTTCCTTTTCCTGAGTGTATACCTAAGAGTGGGATTTCTGGGTTATCCAGTAACTGTTTAACTTCTTGAGGAACTGCCAGCTGTTTTCCAAAGTTGCAGAACCATTTTACGCTCCCACCTACTGTACATAATACTTGCTATTGTCCTTTTTTTATTTTTTTATTGTCCTTTTTTAAAAATTGATTTTAATTTTATTGGTTTTAAAGAGAGAGGAAGGGAGAGGGAGAAACATCGATGTGAAAGAGAAATATCGATCGACTGCCTCCTGCCAGCACCCCAGACTGGGCATCAAGCCGGCAACCTGGGTATGTGCCTGACCGGGAATCAGACCGGTAACCTTTCAGTGCATGGGACGATGCTCAGCCAACTGAGCCACACCTGCCAGGGCTTTCATTGATTTTAGAGAGAGTAAGGGAGAGAGAAGAACATTGATATGAGAGAAAAATATTGATTGGCTGCCTTTTGTATGAGCCCCAATCGGGGATTGAACCAGGGTATGTACTCTGACCCAGAATCGAACCCGAGACCCATGATCACCACTCCAGCTGAGCCATACTGACCAGCGCTATTTTGTCCTTTTAATTGTAGTCATCCTAGTGGATGTGAAGTGGTATTTCATTGTGTTTTTCATTGGCATTTCCCTAGTGGTTAATGATTTTATGCCTCTTTCATGTGCTTACTGGCCATTTGTATATATTCTTAAAGAAATATTTATTTAAATCCTTTGCCCATTTTTCTTTTTCTTTTATTTTTTCAATTTTATATAAAATCAAGCACTATTTTATTTAATTGTTTTTTTAATAAAAAATACAGTAGTATGCCCGGCTGGTGTGGCTCAGTAGTTGAGTGTTGACCTATGAACCGGGAGGTTATGGTTTGATTCCTGGTCAGGGCACATGCCTGGGTTGCGGGCTCCATCCCAGTAGGAAGGCGTGCAGGAGGCAGCTGATCAATGATTCCCTCTCATCATTGATATTTCTATTTCTCTCTCCCTCTCCCTTCCTCTTTGAAATCAATAAAAATAGATTTTAAAAAATACAGTACTGTTGGTTATGTTCTGATTTCCCTGATGAAGCATCAACATCAGTGACAAACTTTCACATACATGAAAGAATCAGGGATGGAAAGTTAAAACGAGGTATATATGGCATTCTGAGCTAAGGATGGAGTAAGGATGGGGGCTTCAGAGGGTCACTGCAGGATGAGAAGAAGAGCAGGTGTTTGCCCTGCCCAATAGGAAGACAGAAACGGTTATCTCTGATAATTTTTCATTATGGACAAGGTACCTAATTAAAAAAAGAGGGGAGCAGAAGAAGTTTCTCTTGTAAGTCTCAGTTGCCTTTAGATCAAAATAATCTGCATAGTACAGAGGGACATCTTGGGGTGACTCATTTTGAACCCCTACAAAGGTTAAGCTGTTAGGGCTTCAGTCTCTGGGATGCCCATTTTTAAATTGGGTTATTTGTTGTGGTGTAAGGGTTGCTAATTTTATAAAAACAAGTTTACTTATAATGTTTCTATTACATTTTTAAATCATATATATATGTATGTGTGTGTATATATATATATATATATATATACACACACACACACACATATTTTTATTTTTATTTTTTGCATTTGTTGGTTGATCTCGGATGTGCTCTGACCAGAGATCAAACCTGCAACCTTGATGTATCAGGACTATGCTCTAACCAACTGAGGTACCTGGCCAAGGCCAAAGCAATATCCTATCTAATAAAGAGGGAATATGCTAATTGACTCTCACACCATCGCAAAGATGGCAGTGCCCACAGCCAATAAGGAGGGAATATGCTAATTGACTGCTCCACCCTCAAAGATGGCAGTGCCCACAGCCAATAAGGAGGGAATGAGGAACAAGCCCTCCCCCCCAGTGCATGAATTTCATGCATCGGGCCTCTAGTGTATATATATTCTTTAATTGAATTCATGGGGGTGACATTGGTTAATAAAAGTATAGGTTTTAAGGGTACAATTTTATAACACATCATCTGTATATTGTATTGTGTGCTTACTACCCCAAGTCAAGTCTCCTTCCATCACCATTTATCCTCCCTTTACCCTCTCCTACTCCCCCACCCGCCTTTCCCTCTGGCAATCACCATACTGTTGTCTGTGTCTTCACCTTTTTCACCCAACCCCCCTCCCCCGCCCCTCTAACAGCTGTCAGTCTGTTCTCTGTATTAATGTTTCTATTTTCTGATGGGGAACTTCAGCTTTGGGGGGATTGTCTGAACACTGTCAGATCACTGGGCAAAATAATGGCTTCTAGATAATTAACATTTTTGCTTGTTTATTTTTGCTTGCATTAGAGAGTAACTCAGACATCGCCTCTACAAGTACCTAACCCGTCGTGGATGCACCACCAGTCATACCTCATACAGCCTTCAGTGAGTGTTCAGAAGCGGGCAAGATGGGATTTGATGAGAGGGGATGTGGGTTTGAGTTCTGGCTCAAGCCCTCATGCAACCCAAGTGTCTGACCGTAAGTTTTGTGAGTTTGTTATTCTTAGGCAGGGATCCATCCAGACAGAAGGGCAGAGCGCCTATTCCTGTTGCATAACGGGGTAGCTGCTCACCTCTCATTTTCCAGGAATTTTAAATGGTCCCAGTAGCCGTGGATCACTGCTGCCGGCAGCCTCACAGAATGCTGCCAACTAACCCTGTCCTTTGTCGCTGCCTCTAGGGTTCAGTTCTGACCCCAGGGATGGACCACCCCCTTTCTCTCCAGCCTGCCTCCATGATGGGACCTCTTACCCAGCAGCTGGGCCACCTCTCCCTCAGCACCACGGGCGCGGTAAAGCGGGATGTTTCTGATTATAAACTCCTCCTGAGGAAGGAATATTTGTGTAATACTTTTCAGGATAAATACTAATGATGATGAGAAGCGCTTCAGTATCACTGAGGGCACACTCAGAATAGGGGGTAAACTTAAAAGATAATCATCCATGAGCTAGGAATATAGCCATTCTGCTCCCCAGCCCACTCCTTTTAACTGATTCCTACTCATGAAACTAAACAAATGGTGTTTCTATCTACATACTAGTTTACCTAGGAGTTCATTCACATCTCCTAGAAATCCTTATCAAAATAATCACAAAATAATCACTAGGTTTCTTGTAGGCCTGCTGCCTTCCGATTTGCCCAGGAGGGCTTCCCGGCAGAGAGGTAACACAGAAGCAGGAAAGAGGAGAAAAAGCATCATGTGTGTATAAGTCTCTCTAAGCCAGTGTAGCCCTGAATTGCTTTTAAAAAGCACAATGAGATCTGACAGTTAGCCCTCACTGGTGTGGCCCAGCCGGTTGAGTGTCATCCAGTGCACCTAAAGGTGGTCAGTTCGATTCCCGATCAGGGCACATGCCCAGGTTGCGGGCTCAGTCCCAGTCAGGGTGCGTGCCTGAGGCAGACGATGGATGTTTCTCTCTCTCTCTCTCTCTCTCTCTCTCTCTCTCTCTCTCTCTCTCTCTCCCCCCCTCCCTCCTCCCTCCCTTTTGCCTTCTTCCCCTCTCTCTCAAATCAATAAAAACATATTTTTAAAAAGCAAATCAGACAAATTAATATCTCTGGGGATGGAACGAAGGCATCAGTAGTTGCTAAAGCTTCCCAGGTGCTTTCAGTGTAGCCAAGAGTCACTCAGCCTACTGGTGTTTTTCATTCTAGTACATGCCAACTGCGGCCGCCATGCAAGGAGCTTACATCTCCCAGTACACCCCAGTGCCTTCTTCCAACGTGTCAGTTGAGGTGAGAACGTTATAATCTCTTGGGATTGAGGATAAGAAAATGAAAGAGGCAGATTTTCCCATTCAAGATCTCCCTCTCACAATGATGCTGATTCTGTGTTCACAAATAGCTGGTAGGTGAAGAATGTAGGAAGGAAAAACTTTGTGTCCTTGAATGAGGCCCTTCCTGACATTCGGCCAGATAGTAAATACCAGGATGCTGGCTTGTATTCACTAGTGTGTCTTGGGAACAGGCTGCTCTAAACGCTGGGGAGGTAATGCTGGGTGTGCGATGCATGTGTACTGTAGCATGTGCACCTAACACTGGCGTGTGGGAGTGGGTAGGTTGGCGAAGGCACTCGACTCTGGGTGGGTTTTATTTAGGCTGCTTTAGTGGCAGGGGAGGTAAGGATGCACAAGGTGACTCTCCTGCATTGGCTGTGGTTACAGGAGAACAGCGGCCAGCAAAATCAGGTGACTATGGATGCTCCCTCAGACCACGGGGTCTATTCTTTCCAGTTCAACAAGTAACAGTGGTAAGAATCACATGCTGAGGGCTAGGGTGCGCTGAGCAGCTGAGGTCAGACAGGGTCTCATGCTTGTCATTCCCCCTCCCGACCCTCTGGCTTATTCCTCCTTTAGGACACCCCTCCCCGTCTTTGTTGAATACAAATGAATTCTTGGAGATGCTGATGCTCCCAGACTCCAGAGCGCTAACCAGGAACACAGATCATCTGTGGGCCCTGCTAAGCCCTACCACTTGCCTCCGTTTCTCACAGGCCTGGGCCTGAGAAAGAAATCTCGGCACTCGTGTCTGTGCTCTTCCTCCATTCCTGCAGGAGCCAAGGAACCGGCACTGTGTGTGTGCTACGTTCAAAGGAATCAAAACAACCTTTTTTTCCTTCTTTTGCAAATAAAGTTTTATGTGTTGTTTTGTTTTTTAAAAACTGCAATATGCAATTCCCCTATCCCAAAGAGACACGGTGCCTGGAACTTCTTATCTTTATGAAAAACACTTTTTGATGTGTTGAACTGATTTGAGAAGGCTTTTAAACTTTTTTTGTTCTTTTTCTTTTTTTCTCTTAAAAAAAAAGGAAAAAAGAAAGGAGTGGTGCTAAAACTTGAAGGATCCCTACTGTGGGCCCTTCTTACGGAGTTTAGTTACGGACTTGTTTTGGTCTAAGAAAATATGCAGTTTTAAGTTTTTGCTTTATAAAGCTCGCAACTCACACACCCTGTCTTTCCTCCACACATTTTATGCTTTGCTTCTCTCATCCATATTTTTCTTCTCTTTCCCAAACAGCAGAGCTTGTCTGTTTCACTTTTTTTCAGTTTTTAATTTTGTGAATTTCTCTTTTGAATGAAATTTTCATATGGAATCGTTAGGGGCTGGGCAAGGAACAGGCAGAACACTAAGCATGCCCTGGAAGTGGCTTTCTTCCCGCTGTCCTGCCACATCCTGTGAGAAAAACTAGACTTTGTCTTCAGGAAGCAGAGATTCGACCCAGGCTCATTAAGGAGACAACCCACAGCCTTGAAAGTCACACTTGAGCCAAATTTGGATGAAGACCAGGTCGTCCCTTGCAAGTTACAGAAGGATGGGCTCAACTGACTTCTAATTCTTCTCACTGCCAGGCTAACACCCTCTGAAGAAGTGTCCTCTCTAGCTACAGCTTTTCAAAAATGCCAGCTTTTCTGCTTCCTGGAGGTTCTTGTCTCCTCTGGGGCTCAGGGGTCCCCCTCTTCCCCACCGCACCTTGCTGTGCTGGGGGCCTTTGCAGCCGTGACCCTGCTGGCTCCCCCTCGGCTCCGTCCCCACTGTGGAAGCTTCCTCGCTTCACTCCAGACTGACGGTAAAGGAGACCACTTGGCCTTCCCTGGAGACATTTTTCACTGTCCAGCCTGGGGGTAGAGGTTGTGTGCTACTGGCACCTAGTGGCTAGACACCAGGGATGCTGCTAACCATTCAACAGTGCACAGGGCACCCTCCACACCCCCAACAAAGAATGATCTGGCTCAAAACGTCAGTAGAGCCAAGGTTGATGAGAAACCTTGATGGAGACAGTGTAGTCCCTGCCTCCTGATCAGAGGATCTGGTAAGTTCCCACTCCAACCCTGGACACACATGCCCTTTTGACACTCATGCAACTAGTTGAAAGTAACAAATGGGGTCCTTGACGTTCCCTCAGGCTCTGACCTTTGACAGCTCTGATGCCCTTGAAAGGCTGCGCTGTCTGCACACTCACATCCAGAGGGATCAGCGTGGGGACTGCTGGGTGTGTGTGCCGTGCAGGGGTGGGAAAGGACAAAGCTCTCTGTCGCTGGCCAGGGCCACCTGTCCTGCCCTGGGGTGTTCGGGACCCTTTGCCAGGGAACCAGTAATTTTCCTTTTTGTGGAAAGACAACAGGGAGGTAGGATAGGAAAGGACAGTAAATCCCATCTCATCATTTACAATATCAAGAGTCTTTTATTTTTTTTTAAGAGTGCTTTAAAAAAAGCCTATATTTTCTCTTGAACTCCATCTCCTCTGCAAGTCCTCACCTATGCACATGGAGACAGAGAGGAGAAAACATTTGCACATCTTCTAGGACAGTGATGGCGAACCTTTTGAGCTCGGCGTGTCAGCATTTTGAAAAACCCTAACTTAACTCTGGTGCCGTGTCACATATAGAAATTTTTTGATATTTGCAACCATAGTAAAACAAAGACTTATATTTTTGATATTTATTTTATATATTTAAATGCCATTTAACAAAGAAAAATCAACCAAAAAAATGAGTTCGCGTGTCAGAGGTGTCATGGGTTTGCCATCACTGTTCTAGGAAGTACAATACCGCATCTTCTCCCAGCCCCTTCCTTATACACGGAAAGGAAAGCTCTGCTCGCCTTCACTTCAAGGTCAGCTGCCTTTCCACCAGGTAATCGGACTGAAGGCCAAATGACAGAGAATGGAGAAACAGGTGTTCATGGGGCTGGCCGTAGGAGAGGAAGGATACGATGTTGGGGGGCGGGGAGGGGGAGAAGCTGTATTGGGCCCAGCTTTCCTTCCCCTCCCACCCATTCCAGAATTGGGGGTCCAAATGTCCCCTCCCCTTAGATGGTCCTTTTGTACATCCTGGGGGTAAGTGGGGGCCAGGGGGCAATGGGTAGGATATAAAGTGTCAAGGACAGAGTTGCCAGTATTAATTTCTCATGGGTGCTTCCAACCTCGGGAAGGGCCGATCCAATATAAAACAGCCCAAGTTCAATAACCTTTTAGAGGGTGTAGCTGGGCATTTCCTACGTAAGGGAAGTACACTATAGATTTCTTGTCTGTGGTCTTGAAGGAAGAGAAAACAAACCCAGACTCCTGCTCATTGGATAGTGGCTCGGAGAAGCCTTCCTGAGGTTCGGTGCAGTGGGGACCTTGCACACATGGAAACTGTTGCCGTCTCTGCTGCCCCTCCTCTGCCCCCAGAACTCCTGATTCTACTTTCTCCGCATTTAAAAAAAGTTTAAGTGTGCCTTTGCTTTGTTTTGAAGTTACCTTTTGTGTGTTCTCACGTGAATCTACTTAATGAATTGTGTTGTGTGTTTCTGGCTTAGGCATGTTTGGTTGGGCATGGGAAGTATGGAGAGCCTGAAGTTATTTTTATAGTTGTTAGTGGCACTATGCAATTTTTTAAAACACGTTTTTATTGATTTCAGAGAGGGAGAGGGAGTTAGAAACATCAATGATGAGAGAATCATCAATCGGCTACCTCCTGCACGCCCCCTACTGGGGATGAGCCCGCAACCCAGGCATGTGCCCTTGACCAGAATCAAACCCGGGACCCTTTAGTCCGCAGGCTGACGCTCTATCCACTGAGCCAAATCAGCTAGGATATGAAATTTCTTTTTGGTGATTTTGGGTTACCTCATATTCTCTAGTTGTTAGTTCATTTCTCCCTCCACCCTCCATTTATTTTTAGAGCGAGTGGGAGAGGGAAAGACAGAGAAATATCAATGTGAGAGAATCACATTGATTGGTTGCCTCCAAAGCCTGCAACTGAGGTATGTGCCCTTGGCCAGAATTGAACCTGGGATCTTTTGGTCTGCAGGCTGATGCTCTATCCACTGAACTAACTAGCTAGGGCTGTTAGTTCATTTGGATCAGGTCAAACATGGGCGAGTGATTGGATAAAGGAGAGGGGAGGAATAAGGGATACTTTTTCGTGTGAAATAGCCTACTGGTGGCAGGGGAACTGTAGGGGAGCCTTCAAATTCACAACCTAGGGCTGGGCGCTTTAAACACCACTGCCTAGTGATTCTGAATTGTCTTCATAGAGCCCAGATGTGTTTCTCTGCATATCACATCTCATCCCCACATTACAGATGCTCATAACACTTTTTTAAAAAATATATATATATTTACTGATTTTTTTACAGAGAGTAAGGGAGAGGGAGTTAGAAACATCGATGAGAGAGAAACATCCATCAGCTGCCTCCTGCACACTCCTTACTGGGGATGTGCCTGCAACCAAGGTACATGCATGCCCCTGACCGGAATCGAACCTGGAACCCTTCAGTCCACAGGCCGATGTTCTATCCACTGAGCCAAACTGGTCGGGGCTCGTAACACTCTTAAAATATTTTAATACCTTGTATTTTTGTTTTCAAATAAAACATCCTCAAGACATTTCCTCAAATGATCTTGTTCTTTACTAGGCTCAAAGCCTGCCTGTCCCATCTCATGCCAGTGTTATTACTGCCCCTCACGCTGAGATGATGCAGACCCCAGGCTGCTTGTGGACTTTTTGGAGGGTGAGTAGAGGTTAGGGAAGATGTGGGAACGATGATGAGGAGAAATGTTATTTTTTAACCAAAGAATTTGAAGAGCTGCCCAGACTTGAAAGCCTAGTGGCACTGAAGCAGGAATAGCTCTTGTAATAAGTGAGGGTTGTAGGAAGACATTAATTTGTGTTGAGGGTGAAAACTAGACCTTACTGGGCCACAGGCCATCCCTGGGCGGGGCCACTGCAGCCCAGTTTCATTTCTCTTCCTTTTCTAACTTATGGATCAGTGGACTCTTTCACCTCCTCGTGCCGGCAATGCTCACTCCCTGCTGCTGCAGTGTCAGCCCTTTGGGGGCCTCTGTGTGGGTTGGTACTTTGCAGCACAAGGTGCTGTAAGGCCTTGCTGAAATGGAATGCTGTGGGGTCCTGGGCAGAGATCTAGTTTTCCAGAAAAAAAAATAAGTCACTGCTGCTCACACGTGTGCTCCACCTCTGGGAGAGCAGCAGCATTGCACTTTGACCTTTTCCAAGAGCAATAAACTTGGATGGGAAATCGGGTCTAAACTTGCCCCCGGCTCTGATAGACCAGCTTCAGAGCAAAAGGGTGGTGTTACGAAAGTCAGCCTGTAAGGGCTGGGTCCTCAATCTTACGCCTTGTCCTATTCTCCCCAATTCCCTCTTAAGCCAACTACTCCATTACTGTGCTTACTTGCATTTTAGGTCCTTCCAAGCATTAACAGAACCCTCATATTGACTCAGCTTTCCCCCTTCCTTTCTTAGGAGGACGAAGGCATAATACCTGCTTTCCTCTACTCTTTCTGACCTTCATGAGTGTTAGGAAGGTGGGGCCTAGAAATGGTTCATGATCCAAGTGCCAACATTCTGGTCACCCTAGAACAGTGTGCACGCTCCCCTAGGTCTTGCTGTGGTGGGCCAAGGGTAACTAACGACAGCCTGGCCTAGGAACACATGGGACAGAGCAGAGCTCAGACTCTGGGTGACTTGGCCAGTGGCTGCCATGTAGCTGAGAAGGTAAGCAAGCACCAAAGAGGGCATTTGTGAACAGACTGTTCCTTCTCCATCTTATTCCATGTAGGTGCAGGGGTGGGCAAACTTTTTGACTCGAGGGTCACAATGGGTTCTTAAACTGGACCGGAGGGCTGGAACAAAAGCATGGATGGAGTGTTTGTGTGAACTAATATAAATTCAAAGTAAACATCATTACATAAAAGGGTACGGTCTTTTTTATTTTTAGTTTTATTCATTTCAAACGGGCCAGATCCGGCCCGCGGGCCATAGTTTGCCCACAGCTGGGTTAGAGGGTCGCCAAAATGAAACTTCTAGCCTGGAGGGTGTACAGCTTTCCAGCCACGTCTTCTCCCCACGACTGGTGCCCTATCCCCTCACACACACTTTCTGGGTGGTGAGTGCTCTCTTGCATGCACTTAGCACCTTGGACAGGAAAAAAGCTTCATTTGGACTCAAACACGCCTTCTCTTTATCCAGAGGCTTCTAGTTTTAGCCTCTTCCCAAGTCTATGCCTGTGCCACCCATTCAGCTTGTCCTTCCTTTTCTGACCTCTGGTATTCTCATGTTCCTCCCCTACAATTTGGTAGAGCTTCATTTTGTCTCATTTCAACCTTTGTTTTTAAATAAAACATAAAGCACGAACATCTGCCTCCAGGTGTCTTATCCATGGGTGGAAGCTGGAAGCTGGTGATGGGCCCACACTTGCTACTACGGGAATACAGGCGGCAGCTTAGGAGGCCAAAGCCCCGTCACACAAGGAGGAACCAGGCACAGAGTTCCGTGTTGCTCCAGCACCTTGGCCTGAGGCACTGGGATCCCGTCCGATCCCAGGAGCAGAACTTCTGCTGCTGGGATTACCTCTTGTACAGGAACGGCCAAGCCTGGAGGTTTGGGATAAACCTTGGAAGGTTAAGAGCATGCTGCTGTCCTGCCTGCTGTCTCCTACACCAAACCAGTCATACTCACCCTCACACCTCGTGTTCCCCTCTAGGCAAACGTGAGAACCGATGCTGAAGGGAAGATGAATACACAGAGTCTTGTGAATCTCTATCAAATGTGGTTTTTATTCAACTGACAAGCACTTTTCTACAGCTGCACTTGTGGAACATCACATGGCAAAAACAGGAGTTTTTTCTCTAGACTTTTTTTTCTTTTTTTAAACCTTATTAAAAATGAGGTTGGTCCTAAAAATATAGAAAGAAATAAATTTAAATTCACAAAAAACTGTACATTATCAAAAAGTCACTAAAACACCACATTTGGTTATATAAAAAGTCAAGTCCCTTTTGATGTAAAAGGAACGTGGAAACTTGTTGGTGTTGATGGTGTGGTTTCTTCCTGTTACCAGACTGATGGGGGAGGGGAAACAAAGGAGTAGGGAGTGAGTTTTTTTGTGTTTTTTTTAACCTGCCTTCCCTACCAAATACTCTTATTTATCAAGAGAAAATCCACCTAGCTCAAGGGGCAGTGAAGAGGAGGAAAGAAAAGTGAGAAATGGCCCCTTTGATCACGCCCTACTCCACCACCTCCCCAGCCCCCACTGCAAATTGGGCTGGGACTCCACCCCACCTTAAGAGTGCCTGGTCCCTAGGGAGAGAGATGGAGCTGGGAGAGGAACACAAAGTAGGAACAACTGAGATTTCACTCCCCTGTCTACCTTGCCTCCAACAATAAAATTCCTTTAGGGCATTTTACACCAGGGGAAAACTGCTATGGGGAGAAGAGAAGAGCCCCAACTATAACAGTTTCAAACGTTTGACTAACACAAAGTTTGTTACAGCGCAGTTATTTAGATAAAATATAAATATTTATGCATAATATAAAGTCAATTCAAATATTCTTCAATCCACCTCTTATTTAAAAGCAAAAAAAAATCTCGAATAAAATTAAAAGTTTTGAGGTTTATCTGACAGAAAAGGCGACTTTAGAAATAGGCTATGGGGGAGAAGGGGCATAAAGGAGTAAGAAAGGGCTGCCCCAGGACCTACGCTGCCCCCCACCCCGTGGCTATTCAGTGCTGCCAGAAGTACAAGGAATGCTCCACCTCACTGGCACCCTCCCCCAATGGAACATTTCCTGGGTGCCTTAGCTCTCTGCTTGGGCCAGCCAGCAGCCACCTCCCCAGTGCAAGTACCCGTAATTTCTGGTGGGAGGGGCTCTGCTGAGCAGGAAAGCAGGGGGCTGGGCCCCATGGCTATAGCTGGGAGTTAGCAGCTTTCCTCTCACACGTTGGGACTTAACTTGAACACAGTCACATGTAGGGCAGTGGTGGACCCAAAACCCCTCCTCCTACTCTTTGTGCTCCAGGTTCTCTGCTGCAGGGAAGGGTCCTGGGGTAGGAAGTAGATAAGGGAAGGAAAGCACAACTAAACCCCCAGAAGCTCATGGGATTAGGAAAAATCCAGTTCTACCCCTCTCCCTGCAAAAGCTAAGACTCAACACTACTGAAAGGAGAGGGAGTTCCTGTTGAAAGATTGCACAGTTTAGAGGCTGGAACAGAAATGACTGGGAGAGAGAAGAGCCACAGCCTTGTACCCAGAAAAACTGTTCCTGTGGTTTCCCAAAGACAAAAATATGATGGTTTGAACAATGGGAAAGATGGGACTAAAAACAGAGAGTTGAGGAAATTGAATGGATGCCTTCAAACAATACAGGGGCACAATTAACAGTGTTCTCTCTTACACACACACACACACACACACACACACACACACACACACACACCTCAGGCCAGTAGGTTGCTACCTGGCCTCCATCTTGGGGTGCGCCCAAACTCAGCAGTAGTTGTCCCTGAGGAGTTCCCAAGAGGGAGGTTTGGGTAATAGGTGGGGAAGGAGGCTGCAAGGCCCAGGGTCCAGGGTGCCTCCCTGTCCTCTCCCAGCTACTGAGTTTCAGAAGAGGCTAGAAACTCAGCATGTGAGGAGTACCCAACACATGAGAGGGGATAGCTATTGGCAGAAGATGAGGACAGAAAGACAGGGACCTCTGAACTTCGTTTTTCCTCTGAAGGGAAAAAAGATTTGGAAAAGAATGAAGGAACCCGTACACGATAGTTTTACATTATTGGATGACAGAAAATCTGAAAGGGGGGAGGGGAGGGAAGGTGAAAAACTGAGAGAAAGTGAGAAGCAAGGGAGGGACTGAACATGGAAGCAGCATGTTCAGGGCCCGGTGTCCGGCTCGACACACTTGGGAATTAAGTCCACTTTACTGGCCGTCACTGCGGGTCCACACACAGTACAGAGTGTTTCTCGGTTTCACACATTCACTAGAACTATTGCTATTGTTAAACAGCCCCAGAATGCTGGGGCATGTACAGGGAAGGAGAGGGATCTGGGGGAGGAAGTAGGGACTTCTTTCCTCCTCCTCATTTTTAATTAGGAAATAAAACAGAAAGGAAAATTATTTTTTTCTTTCTTTTTTTGGCTTTCAGTCCAGAAGGACCTCATTTCTGCCCCTCTTATTTGAGGAGCAAGAGGAGGAAAGGGAGAAGGGGTGTAGGGATAAGAGGATGTAGGGTGCTGCCAAAGGTAGAGTCAAATAGCAGATATATATGTATATATCAGATTTGAGCCGAGCCCCAGGGCAGCATCAGCAGGTGAGAATGGCAGGTTTTTGTTTGGAGGGTGCGGGGAGATGCCACAGGTGACTCCCCACCACCTTTGCCTCACAGATTGGCCTGTTTTCCCTGATAAAACTCCTCCCAGCGGCTCTCAAAGAAGCGTCGCATGATGTGCCCAGCCTTTCCCACTTCAGAGTCATCCTCATTGAAGGTCTGGCAGTTGTCAAAGACCAGAAGCGCATCAGCCGCAAACTCCTCTGAGCTGGTGTACCTGGGCAGGGGGAGGCCAAGCTGTGAGTTGGGCAGGAGGCGGAGCAGTACCAGAGGAGTCGGGAGAGGTGCTGATGTCTACTCACCCTCCTCGGAGCAGCCGCTCCCGCATGGTGGAGAAATCCATAGGGTTTTTGATAATGCGCCGGTACCCACTCACCAAACGTGGGTTCACGGGCTCCAGAAAAGGCCAGGCTGCATCATGGGACTCCATCTCCATCAGGATAATCCTACCATTAAAGGGACAGTGATGGCTGCATCTCAGGAAGCAGATACACTGACCCTCCCCGCCTTTTCCTCTGGCAAAGGTAGAGCCGATTGTCCACAGAATCACCCAACTCACTCGCAAAATGTGAGATCACTGTGATGGTTCCGCATGGAGAGCCGCCGCCGCTTCGATGGTGACAGCCCTTCCTCCGAGTACCGAGGCACTGCTGGGCTTTCTCGGCCCCTCGACAGTACACGGCGTTGGCGGCCATCACCCTCTGGGAAGTTCAGCACGTAAGTACTTTTCCGCTTCTGGCCTCGTTTTGGGAAGCCAGGCTTCTGAGTGAATTCTCCTTCTACCTGCTACAGGTAGAAAAAGATGAGATCAGCAACATCTGAAGATGTACTTGGCGTGCCCTCCAGTTCATTACAATTCCTACATGTCTAAGTGTGATCAGCTTCCAAATACTTTCACACATACGGCAGCATGTGAATTTATTCACGTAACCCAATATAGTAGGCAAAGGGGAAAGTATAATCACTCCCATTTCACAGAAGAAAGCAAGTGAGGCTATAAAATCTGTGACTTGTCCAAAGGAGGAACAGCACTCAGGAACCCAAGGTCTCCTAGCACGTAGTTGGAAGATCTTTCCAACGACAGACTGAGGCGTGGGGAAAATGGTATTTGTAGGGTTGGTAGTCAATAGGATGAGAAAGAAAATCTCTGACTTCTGCTTAGGAGTGGGAATGAGAGAGCAGAAGGCTTACCTGGGCCAAACAGACAGCACAGAACCAATCTCCCTCTGGAACAGTTTCCATCTTGGGCCGATGGCAGTATATGTGGCAGCCACGGTCACACCCATCACAGAGCAAAAGAAACTCATCGTTGTCACCTTTCCGGCACACTAGACAGGTCTAGACCAAGGTTGTGAGAAGGCAGGGTGAGCCTCCTTCTGCAGTGACCCCACCCACTTGCGCTGATTGGCTCCCCAGCGTTCCCAGGCTCTCCCAGCCTCTTACCACTTTGTTGACGGACTTCTCCCAGGCAATGGACCTCTCCAGCTGGCCCAGGCACAAGCACACCTGGGCTGCACTCCGACACCGCTCCAGTGTCTGGCGCCAGGTCCGAATGCGAGGAGTGATCTCATATGATCTGGAGGGAGAAAGTGGTGATCTTTGGATGAGTAGAATCCATTAAACTTCTTCCCAAGACCAAGAATTGGGAGGGGAGAGGGGACACTCACATCTCTGCAGTGGTGCACTGAGGGGCAGCACTGGGTGTGCTGAGCAGGGCCTTCTCTAGCACAACCTCATGAGCTGGCCAGAGGGGCTCCCGTAGGTACCGCCGCTCCACATTCTGCTCCAGGGCAGCCAGTCGCATCACAGCCAGGTCCAGAGGGTTGGTAGTTTTACGCTGGGGGGCGAGTCCTTCCCTGCCTCGACCTCTCCAGGTGATATCCTCCTGGGAGTCAGGTAGGTGCTCACAGTAGGCCAAGTCTTCGCGAACAGAGTCTGGGCTAGGACATGCCCAGCCCTGCAGGTGGGAGAGAGGGATAGAACTCCTCATTGTAAAGAAAATTAAGCATAAAGAAAAATGTGACCC